AGAGATCAAGGAGTCCAACCGCAGCACCCGTCTTCTTCATCAAAAAGAAAGACAGATCACTGAGGCTCGTACAAGATTACAGGAACCTCAACGCAGTCACAAAGAAGAACAAGTTCCCAATCCCATGCATTTCGGACCTCACCGACAGACTTTCACATGCTAGTATATTTACGAAGCTTGATCTGAGATGGGGGTTCAACAACATAAGGATTAGGGAAGGAGACGAAGAGAAAGCAGCCTTCATCACACATCGTGGCCTCTTCGAACCCACTGTAATGTACTTCGGTTTCTGCAATGCTCCTAGCATCTTCCAAACAATGATGAATACAGTCCTCGAAGACTTAATCCGCACTGAAAAGGTGGTAGTCTACTTAGACGATATCCTCATATTTACGGACGATCTCGATGAACACCAACGACTAGTGAAAGCAGTTCTACAGCACCTCCGGGACAATGACTTATATGCCAAACTGGAGAAATGCTTCTTTGAACAGTCCTCAATCGAGTATCTTGGCATGATCATCAGCAAGAACTCAGTACAGATGGACCCTGCTAAAGTCGAAGGTGTACTTGGCTGGCCCGCACCGACAAAGGTCAAACAAGTACAGGCCTTTTTAGGATTCGCGAATTTCTACAGGCGATTTATAAAGGACTTTGCAAAGCTCGCACGACCTTTAATGCTTCTCACCTGTAAGGATGTGCCCTGGCAATGGAAGGAGGAGCAAGACCAAGCCTTCAGTGCACTCAAAATGGCGTTCACCTCAGCCCTGATCTTACAACTCCCTAACGACACTGCACCATAGCATCTAGAAACAGACTCTTCAGACTATGCAACTGGGGCAGTACTCGAACAACTAGGGGAGGACAAGCTATGGCATCCAGTCGCATACTACTCTAAGTCACTCAACGAACATGAGCGAAACTACGAGATTTACGACAAAGAGATGCTTGCTATTATTTGGGCACTCGAAGAATACTGGCACTATTTAGAAGGACATCCAGAACCCATTGAGATTTGGTCGGACCATCTCAACCTTACATACTTTTATCAGGCACAGAAATTATCCCGGCGCCAAGTGCGCTGGTCATTATTCCTCACCAGATTTAATTTCATTCTCAGTCACCGACCTGGAAAGACTATGCTACGTGCCGATCCTCTGTCCAGGAGGCCAGACCATGAGAGGGGGGTAGACAGCGACAATTCAAACCAAATGCTGTTAAAACCTGAATTTTTTGCTATCAATGCGATTCGACCCGCTCACGCATCTGAAGTTGATGATGCTCAACTACTGGAAAGGATCAAGAAGGCACTCACAGACAACACAATGACTAAGGATTATCGTGCACTTTTGACTACAGGACAGCGCGAATTTGGGAAAAACCTCACAGAATGGAACTTTGAGCACGGACTGCTGCTCTATCGCGAAAAGGTTTATGTCCCCAAGAATCAACAGCTATGCCTTGACCTAATAAAACTCCATCACGACACCTTACCAGCCGGACACCCTGGCAGGTTCAAGATGTTGGAGCTTATTACTCAGAATTATTGGTGGCCAGGAATGTCTGTAATGGTTAAACAATACGTGCAAGGTTGCGACAGTTGTCAATGCAACAAGTACTCAAGAGAAAAACCATACGGACTACTACAACCAAACGAGGTACCAGGAGGACCCTGCGAGATCATCACAGTAGATCTCATCACACAACTTCCTCCAGCCACGGACTTTAGGGGAGAGAAGAAGACAGCAATACTTGTCGTCGTGGACAGACTCACGAAGCGAGCGCACTTTTATGCAACGGATGATACAGTCACGTCGTCGCAAGTCGCTAACGTATTCTATAACGAAGTCTTCAAACTCCACGGATTGCCGCGCCAAATTATCTCAGACAGAGGTACTCAATTTGTGAGCAAACTATTCCAGGAGTTCTGCCAGAAGCTCGGTATAAAGTCAACAATGTCCACCGCATATCACCTCCAGACAGACAGTCAGACAGAAAGGGTTAACCAGGTGTTGGAACAGTATCTACGAATGTACTGTAACCATAGACAGAACGATTGGGTCTATTACCTGCTGACAGCAGAATTTTCATACAACAACCAGACCCATGAATCCACCGCACTTTCCCCATTCTTTGTCGAATATGGCTGACATCCAAAAATGGCACCAGATGTACACGAATCAATACATCATCCCTCATTGGAATATCTATTCGCCCACCGATCCGAGGCACAAGAACAGGCAAAGGCAGCATTGGAAGTTTCAGCTTCACGAATGAAATGGTACTTCGATGAGAAAAAGGGAGAAGTCCCATTCAAGGTCGGAGATCTAGTTTTACTCAAGGGAAAGGATCTCAGAGTAAAAGTCAAGTCCGCGAAGCTAGGCACACAAAACTTCGGACCTTACAAAGTACTTCAGAAGCTAGGCCCAGTCACATTTAAACTGGAACTGCCTAAGCAAATGAAGGTCCACCCAGTCTTCCATGCTAGCAAGTTAATCATGTACCACCAAGACACGGTCACAAACTGTGAACCCCCAAAGCCCCCAGCCATAGAAATCGAAGGAGAACCAGAATTTCGAAGTTGAGGAAATACTAGACTCGAAGGTTGTAAGAGGAAGGGTCCAATACCTCGTCAAATGGAAAGGCTATGACCATTCTGACGATACATGGGAGCCCCAAACGAATCTTACCAACGCCGACGAGCTTCTTCAAGAATTCTACCAGCAACACCCAGATGCCGCCAAAGCACCAATCAGGGTCGTCACTTTTGGTGGAAAACGCTTCGAATTATCCTCATATGAAGTTGCACTGATCTCCACACACAGAATCAACATGTCCGACCATCCAGATGAGTTTTTCCTATACCATAAAATGACAGATCTCGCCAAATCACCGAAGAAATCCTCAAATGAAGCAGCAGGATGGGATATTTACGCAGCAGAAACGCATGAAATCCCTCCACATTCACGAGCTATGGTAGGAACGGGAGTCGCAATTGACCCTCCAAAACACACCTATACACGAATAGCTCCACGCAGCAGACTGGCTGCATGAGGAATTGACGTGGGTGCAGGAGTCGTGGACCCAGATTACACTGGAGAACTCAAGGTCGTACTGATCAATATAACAGATTTCGTATTTTCGGTTAAACCGGGAGACAGGATAGCCCAAATCATCTTCGAATATTATGCCGAAGGGCTTCCCTCCCGAAGTTACCAACCGTTGCGAGCAACTAGAAGGGGACATAAAGGTTTTGGCTCCTCGGGACAATGAGCCTTGAGAGGGGGGTAGTGTCACAGATTTTCACCACAAAAGTCTGCACGTGACTTTGCTCACCCCACAGATCACGTGCTTCACCAATATCTCATGCCACTCAGCCACAGACGTGATGCATAGAGATCAGGTGATAGTCCATATCACATGTTATGGTCCAGACCCGTGGATGATACGGTCGGACCTGTCTATTCCAGGACACAATAGAGGCACCCATTTGCCAACAAAGGGAACAAGGACTATTGTTATACATCGGCCTTCCGCTTCCTATTAGTTTAGCCAGAAGCCTAGATAGGCACGATGTTCACACCGGAGAACAAAAGGGAAACCAAGATAAGCACGATGTGCACACGCATTACTGCGGCAACCATCGATCTTTCCACTTATTGTTCTACTTCTGGACATCCTATTGTTTCATGTATGGCCATTTGCTTATACCCGTAGATAGGTAGCTTAGGTAAGATAGCCCGCTGTACGTGTATATAAGACCAGCCATGTAGAGGACGAAACTTCAGATTGTTTCTCCTCGTCTACTACCTGTAGCACTCACTGAGCTCACCAGCTCCTTCATATATCTCTCACCCTTTCCTGCGTCCACCACACCAACCAGTAAGTCAACAGGCTCTTGCGCCACATAGGGTTCAGGGGGATACTTTTGGGATCAGGGGGATCAGGGCGGCACGTTCCACGTGACTGTCCCTTTTTTAGTCTTTTTGATCTCTTGTCCGGTGTTACCGTGACACTAAGCCTATGTATGTATGAGAAGAGCACAGCATTGACAGTCCAGAATTGATCAATACCCCAGCATTATGGCATGCCACAGAGTGTGATATGTATTTTTCTGTCATCCAATGGGAAGGCCTGTAATACTTAGGAACCCTGAATGCCTCTTGAATGTGGTATCACTGAGGGCATGAGCCCACAATTTCACCGGAAACATTTTGGACACATTACGATAACAGTCACAATGTAACTCTAATGTTACTGATGTAAACATCACAGAATAATTTGAATTATTTTGAGTGAGCTCATTGTGAAATATTGGCATCATTTTGAATGAATCTTAAGGGTACATTACAAATGTGATCAATGTGATGTTACAATGAGTACTGGATGTTTTCCATCATGTGTCGGCTGAAATTATCTTGAATGCATTGGGGATGTCCTAATATGGTTAGCACATTACTATATATATAGTAATAACAATCATGTGATCACAATGAACCCATTGGGAACATCTTGAAGACATTATGGCCACTCACAGGTATCATTTGAGATTTTCTTCCAAGAAACATTTAGGATGCTGTCACAATAATGCTTGAATGCTGTCATCTGCAGCATTGGGGTCTCATTCTTGCATCTTTATGAATGCTATCAAAATTGTGCCACAATGTTGATGCTTAAAACATTTTAAAACATTCAAAATGATTTCAAAATGTTTGCACTAAAAACTTTGCATAATTATTTGGACTGTTATTGCAATGTGTCCAAAATGTTTCGGGTGGAATCATGGGCCCATGCCCCCGGTGTATGTACTCATTAATCACTCCTGTAGTTCCTTCCTGTCTAAGTATAAGTCACAGATCTTACCATTTCCTTCTAGAAGGTGCTCTGGAGATGATATACTACTAGCTGCATAGGCTCGTAGGTACTCTCGTGGCATGCCATTCAAATTGTCTGCCTGGAGAATATATGTGGGCCTCCTTCGCTAAGGTTTCTCGTTCTGTGGTCAAATGGCTGACATAAGATGCATGCCGCTCGCTCTTTCTTTTCTTTCTCTTTTTTAAAAGGCTGATGTTACATGATCAAATGGGCACCAGAAGGCTTTGTACTGGCAGAAAAAGAAAACAGCATGCGGCGCCATCATCCCTCCCACACGGCAAATTCGAGGCCGCACGGCGCGCAGACTGCCCCTCTTGCGCAGGTCGAATGAGACGGAGAAGCCATCGGGATGCCTTGCATGAGGAGATGTCATTGCTTCCTAGCCCTTTAAAATCCCGACGGAAGCGAGCTGTGGCGGAGCGCGTGCCTGCAATCTCGCAAGGACGACTCCTGCGATCCACTATCAGCGAGCCCACGTTGCGTATCGCAGCATGAAGGAGCCCTGAGGATATATCTGTGTCATTAAACGGGCGACGTCGTGCAGTAATATGTACACGCGCGGCGGCCGAGTAGCGACTCGAAGACCTGAACGGAGAGTTCAAATGCGTGTATGCGGGGAGAATGAAAACAGTTTTACATGCTGCGAGCGCGACTAAAACTACACAGTTGGTTACGATGTATATATGTATACTTATATATGCGCATGAGTGTACCATCTTCTGTACGTATGGATGAATGGACGGACGAGGAACAGCTAGACAAAACAGGAGGGGGTGGGTTAATTCTTGTGTATTCGTGAGCGAAAGAAGAAAAGGAGAAAGTGAAGTATGTACATGAATTGACCGGACGAAAGAGCGACAGGCACCGCTGTTTTGTGCTTGTAGCGACAAGCTGATCTGCGGGAGGTGCGAGTCTCTTCAATGGGGTAAAGAGAAAAAAGAGCATAAACAATAGAGAAAAGGTTTTAAAGAGGAAGTCAAATGAAACAAATAGATAAACGCAGTGAGCAAGTAGCGGTACGCCACCATGCGCTTATGACGAGTGCACCGTGCTCGGGATGGCCAGCTCCGACCCCGCATCGTCATTCTCCACGTCCGCGTCCGACTCGTAGTGCGACGTCTGGAACGTCGTCTGGCTGTGCTGCTGGTTGTTCACCAGCTAAGTTCACTCATCAGTCAACATCTGACATGCTTCCCGAAGAAAGTAAGACACTCACCCCGCCGATCGGCCGCGAATAGTCCACCTCGTCCCTAAAGCTAAGCGCGCCCTGGCTCTCCATCCCCGCCGCACCCAGGACGCCCATCCCCAGGCGCGGGTCCAGCAGTCCCTCGCGCGCAACGATCCCTGAGCCTTCCGTGAGTGCGGGCGATGGCAGATCCGGCGCGCCGAACAGGCCAGCCCACGGCTTCCCATGGCTATACGAGTGTGTGTGCGAAACGGAAGACTCGCCGCCGCTCGGCGACGAGTCTACATTGAAGTTAACGTTGACTGGGTCAGCCGCAAATGGCGAGTCGCTGGAGCTCATGCCCGTGCCCGTGGGCGGGGAAGTGATGGTTTTTGGAGGCACGTATGGCCGCGCGAGGAACGGAAGCGACCCTGGCGGGAGCGTCGGCGTCTGCTCGCGCACGAGCCCCGAAACGCGTCCGAGCGTCCGCGCATTATTCGCATTCGCATTCGCGTATATAGCAAGCCCCGCGCTCACACTCGAAGGTGTGCGACCCATCGTGCCATAATTGTTCACCGCCGCGCCTGCGCCTGGAGTGGTAGGCTGTCGCGCGCTCCCGTACGCATAGCTCTGCGAGCTGTCCCCGCTTCCGGGCCGCGCGCCGCGCCTTGGCTTCCACATGCCCATCCCCAGGAAGCTCTTTCGCCGCCGCTTCCCATTCGCGCCTACGCTCGACCCGTCGTCATCATAATCGTACGCATTTTCCGTTCCATGGCCGTAGCGGAATGCCGTCGGCGGTATACCCTGCTGCGTCGGGAGCAGCGAGGAAGGGCCGGGAGAGCGCCGCCCATTCTCTTGCCCGTGATCATTGGACGACCCGCCCGCGCCGTGCGCGAACGCGGACCCTCCGCTGTGCCCGTGCGAGGACCCAGAGACGTGTGCATGGTCTAAGTCCGAGCTGCCTGACCCCCCGCCACTATCCATAGCATACGAGTCGCAGAAAGGGTCGGCGGGGTGCGTGTTGGCTTGCACTGGGTCGCGGAAGGGATCTGCCGGGTGCGTGTTGGCGAGGACGGGCGTACTGTGGCTCGTGGCTAGCTGTGAATTGGCGTTGGGACTCGCAGAATGCTGGACACCGCGCCCGCTTAGCCAGGCCGCGGGCTCGAGCACCCCGGACGCTGTCTGTGAACGTGCTGGAGAGCGAAGTGGAGGGTCGATGGGCATTGCCAGCGCACTCGCAGACCTGAACAGCATCGGCGACGGCGCTGAGTTCCTTCTTGACCCAGATCCCGAGCCGGACGTATATCCCGAGGTCTCTCGTGCGTCCAATGACGAGCTCGCACGCCGGATGAGCGCATCATCTTCCCTGCTACCCTCCCTGCTCATTGGCACCGCGCCCATGCCCACCTCGTCCGACGCCGATTCACCAGAGTGCGCGGGCGAGGCCGTATAGGGCAGACCATATGCACCGGCACCGAGTGCGAGGTCCGCGAGGTCGTTCACACGCGAGAATGCCTCGGCGCTATCAAGTAAGTTGGAGGGGTCCACGCTCATGTTGAGGTTTCCGTCGCGCAGCCTGTCATATCCGCTTGCCATTGGAGTAGTGCCCGCGCCGACACCAGCAAAGGACACCGGACCTGAGCCGAGCTGGGTCATGCTCGCAGGCCGGACGATGCCCGGCGCACTATCGTCATCGTCGTCTTCATCTGCAAGGAGGTTGCCCGAGCGGCGCGCGGTGCTGTTCGCGAGCGCCTCAGCAGCTGCAGTCTCCGCGGCGCGATGCTTGCGGTGTCGGCGGAGCGCAAGGATAAGGAGTGCGGTGAGAAGGGAGACAAATGCAATGGACCCGATCACGAGCCCTGCGAGTGCGCCGCCGTTGTGTGAGAACCTGTGAGCAGAGGTGTCAGAATGTTGCAAAGCAGAGCGATAAAAGTTACTGACACGTTGTCGCGGCTGCCCTGCTCAGGAATGAGGGTGCCGGTAGTGAGGACGGTGGTGACTTCTGTGACGCCGGTAGAGCCGCTACTTGTCCAGGTGAGGGTCTCGACGACAGTCGTTGTGATGGTGCTGTAAGTCATGCCCTCGGTAGTGTCTTGGGTGGTGGTGGACTGGTAAACCTCGGTGGAGAGGGCGGTGCTAGTGCGGGTGTAGACGGGGAAAGAGTAGGCTGTGGTGCGGGAGGAGGGCTGCAGAAGAGGGCGGGTGGTGGTGTAGGAGTAGCTGGCCCCGTTGGAGGAGGATGAGATGGAGGTGGTAGAGCTTGCGGTCGTGCTGGCCCGAGTGACTTGCGAAGAGGCGGACTGCGTCGTGGACTCTGATGGGTCCGAAGTGGTCGCCGAAGACGCGCGCACAGACGAAGACGATTGAGAGCTAAGAGAACTTGAGAGACGTGCCGAGGAAGCAGCAGATGCCGTAGACACGGACGAAACTGAAGTGGAAACACTGGAAGGAGATGTGGACGATACAGAGGAGATCGTGGATGATGAGGAAAGGAAACCAGAGCTCCCACTGGAGGGGTTACCAGAGGAGGAAGAGCTTACGGGCGCCGATGAAGAGGACATGGTGAGCGAGTCGGATGAGACTGGTGTGCTGGTGACAGGGCCAGTAGAGAAAGGGGATGATGAGGAGGAGGTATGCGAGGAGATGCTTGCGCTGATTGAAGTGGACGAGAGCGACGTGGAGGACATTGAGAGTGAACCGGATGAGGAGGTCGAAGAACCATGACTGGATAAAAAAAAGTCAGTAGAGGTCGTGTCAGACGTAGCGCTAGTCGTAAAGGAAGTCGTGAGGAATGATCTAGTTCTAGATGAGGAATCGCTATGTACACCTGATGATGATACAACAGAAGAAAATGAAGACGTGCTCCCGATCGCCGCGGAAGACGTAACAGAAGGCGCCAATGAACCACTGGTAGAAACGCTATCAGACGTCGACACCACAGTTCGGCTGCCGCTCGTCGTACTTGGAGGCGGAGCCGAGCTGCTTCCTGCCAATGCACTTGATCCTGAGAAAGGAATCGAATCCGTGCTGGCACTCGATGGCACACTCGATGGTGACGTCGGACCGACAGCTGTACTGGAGTACGACACAGGCTCGGTGCTCGTGCTCAGACTCGTGCTACTCCCGCCAACATCCGAGCTAGGCGATCCGTAGCTACTTGTCGGGGGGTCGCTCGACGTGATGCTCGGGCTAGATGCGGCAGAGCTCGAAGTCGGCGGATCGCCCATGCTAGACGATGTAGGAATGGCGATGCTCGTAGGAATGGCGATGCTCGTAGGTATATAGCTGGAGCTTTGACTGGGCGGATCGCTCGACGTGAGCGAACGCGCGGCAGTACTTGAGTACAAGGTCGAAGAGCTCAACCTGAGCGGGTCGCTAGACTGTGCAGAGGAGCTCGATGGCATATAGCTAGAGGTCTGTGTCGGTGGGTCGCTCGACATCGACGGTGCAGGAGAGCTGCTCGAAGACGCAGAAGCAGAGCTTCCTGTGAACGGCTCACTCGACGTCGACGGTGCTGCAGAACTCGTACTCGACGACAGGCTCGAAACACTTGAGCTTGCAAGATCGCTCGACGTTGAGTACGCAGTCGAGGTGACACCTGGACTGGACGACAGTACATCGCTCGACGTCGACAGCACGGGAGAACTCGACGACACAGAGGCAGAGCTCCGAGTAGACGATCCGCTCGACGTTGAGGGCACAACGGAGCCTGATCCCGAAGACAGCGATGAAGTGCTAGCAGTCGATAGACCACTCGACGAAGACTGCACGAACGTCGAGCTCTGCGCGGAGGAGCCGTCCGACGAGGAAGCAGAGCTGGAGGTCGGCTGGTCACTCGCACTAGACGACACGGATGACACGACACTCGACGATGTGACTGTCGAGCTCGCGCTCGCGGTGCTTGAAGACGTAAAAGAACTCGACGTCGGTGGATCACTCGCGCTCGTGCTCGAGGACGACGCAGCCACGCTGGAGCTCAACGTCCCAGTTACGCTCGTGCTTGTGCTTGTGCTCGTGCTCGGCACGGAGGACACAGCGACGCTGGAGCTCAACGTCCCAGTTACGCTCGTGCTTGTGCTTGTGCTCGTGCTCGGCACGGAGGACACAGCGACGCTGGAGCTCGTCGGCGATGCCGCACTGGAGATAGATGAGGAAGATGCACTCGATGAGGAAGATGAAGGCGAACTAGACGTGGAGGACGGAGAGGCACTGGACACAGAGGACGAAGACGACACCGGCGTACTCGAGGTCGGAACCACGGACACGCTCGTCACGCTCGAGCTCGCATCCGACACCGTCCTTCCACTCGTCCCCGACGGAAGATCCGAGCTGCTCGTACTCGTCGTCACCGAGCTGGCGCCACTAATCGTCCCGAATGATAATGCACTCGAACTGGACGTCGTCCCCAAAGTGGAACTTGACACCGCACTCGACGTTGCGATCCCACTGGAAGTAGGAGCAGACGTAGAACTCGAGCTTGCCACCCGATTCGCGCTCGTCAAAGACGTGCCCGATGTAATGCCCTCAGATGAGGACCACGTCGAAGATGTAGAGGAAACAGTACTGCTTGCGTCCGTGGACGAAGACCCCGATGTCGATGTGGAAATCGACGGCGGCGACGAACTGTCCTCGTCAACGCCAACGGAGCGTCGCGTAACATCATTTGAATATTGAGGCCAAAGGAGAGCCGCACGACGAACGCGCCAAAAAAAAAAGCAAAACGTAAAAGTCAACGCGTTCAAAAAGGGAATGTGCACGCAACAATGTGAATGACGTAGGGGATTGAAAAAGAACAGAAAGGCATGGAAATGATGAAAAAAGGATTAGACGGGGGACTGCTCCCTCGCAAGAAGAAATACGACACTCACGTTGACATCGACGCACCCGAACTTGCGGTTGCACTCGACAGAGAACTCGGTCCGACGCTCAGGCTTGCACTTGCACTTGCACTAATGCCGATACTTGCGCTGAAGCTTACACTCGACATAGGATCGCCCGGCGTGATACTTGCACTTGATATGGGACTACCAGGCGTAATACTTGCACTCGAAGTGGGATCGCTCGCACTTGCGCTGCCACTCGTGACTGAAGCACTGCTCACACTCGTGCTCGGCATCGCGGACACAGATGAGCTTCCCGTATTTGCGCTACTGGGAGCCGCAGACGAGGATTGAGGAGGGTCTGAGGAGGTCTGCGGCGCGGAAGACGACACGCGCGCCGGGTCCGAGGTCGTAGGATCCGCACTGGACGTGGTGGGAGCTACACTGGTGGTGGGATCAGCACTGGACGTAGTGGGGGCTGCACTGGTAGTGGGATCGGCACTGGACGTAGGAGTCGCACTAGATGTTGTCGGTGCAGAGGTGGTCGGGTCCGCACTTGTGGTCACGTCAGCGGAGGACGTTGTGAGATCTGGTGTGCTGGTCGTCGGCTCTGCACTCGTCGTGGGCGCTGCGCTCGTTGTGGGCTCCGGCGTGCTCGTCGTCGG